AAGAGAGATAACATCATCATAACTCTCCAAACCCAGAAATTCATCCTGAATTTCTGCCAATCTCTCATGTCGAGCAATGAGCTCTCATGGGCAGATGAGAAGGTCTGTTCATTTTACCCTCTGCACGAAATGCATGGGTTGTGCAGATTGCTGCATAGCCACGCCCATCACTAGGTCTTATTTTGGGGTAGGGCTTATATTGCACAAATGTTTAGAATTCTGCTAGGGCTTATTTTATGGGTAGGTCTTATTTTCTGGGAAACATGGGTATCTTAAACTTCAAGGTTATTCCTGTTTCACCCCTGACCATGTCTCTGTATTTAGAGAAAAGATTAGATCAGTATACAGACTCCATGTTCCTGCTTTATACATTTTTATCTTTAATTTGTATGCTCAGCTAGGTCTATTCTTAACGTACGGGCTTAACATGTTTATCATAGAAAATTTGTAAACATCTATTCTTGTAGACAGAAGTAGGTTAAGGGTCCCTTGAAACTTTGGGGAGCTTGAAACCTCAACAATGCACTGTTCACATATTCTTTAACCAAGGACAACTGCTTGCTGTAACTATAAATAATGGTGTGGATTTCACTCAGGGCCTACCAGCTCATGGGAACCTGAGCTGGTAGGAGGACCTACCAGCTGAGGACCCCTGTCTCCCCTATCACTTTAAACTGTGCTGTCTCTGTCTCTATTATTTCCAAATCTCTTGCAATGATCCTGCCTGGGACCTGTTTTGCTGGGAGAGTAGCTAACTCCTGGCAACACTACGTCTTCAAAATCTGATGCATATTTTACTCTTACAACCATCTCAATTTAGACTGCCTCATTTCAAATGCTCAATTGCCATTTACAGCCATGTATTGCAGCAGCCTCAGATGATTCACTGCCCAACTGTCAATTCCAGCCTTGAAACTTGAAATTTTACCAGCTGACCCCAGAACTAATGAAGTCACAAAACTGTTCATGCTGTGCCCATTTTCCCTTTTGGAATCTTGATTCACAAAATCTATGAGCATAACACTGGCAACTAAATTTGGAATGGGTTTATTTTGCCTCAGTGGTAACTAGGCTACTGGCCTATGAGAGCTCTATTATTTATTTTAACATTTCTCTACTCAGGTTTTTCCTGACTCTCCAAGACTTTATTATAACAATGCTGTAATGAGCCAATACAATATCTGTAAGCTAATCTAATTATTTTCTTGCATTTTCTTTTTTTTTTTTTTTTATCCAGAAGCTGAAGGTTAGTATATTTCTTGCATTTTCTAGTCAACGGAACATTGATTAGGTAATTTACATTCATATTGCCAAACTGTTATCCAAAGCAGCTTAACCAGTTCTCACTAACAATAAACATATGTGTTCACAACTGTGCTTCTCTTGACTTTTCTAGTTTCTTGGGTTGAATGCTCAGGTCCCTTATTTTCTATCTTATAACATTCTTCTCTAAGTTTGCTTTAGTTTTCTTTTCTATTTTAAAGTGTATCAGTGATACACTTTTATCATAAAAGATTCGGGTAATCTGTAAGCTATATGAAGGGGGTACTACACTATTATTCTATGCTTTGGATGTCTTTGAACTCCATGAAGTAGAGAGCTTACCCTGCCAGTTCATACAAGTCTAACTCATCAAACATTAGTTGACTAAACAACTGCATTTTAATTAATCAAATGTTAAGTGACTGCACAGTAATCCAAAGAATGCATGTATCTTAAATTAACCATTGCCCTCACTACAGACATGACTCCAACTATTACTTTATAGACCACCTTTACTTTTTATTAGATTTTTAAGAATGTTAGGTCAAATGGTCAAAGCTGGTAGGGTCTAGTCATTTATATTTCTTCTTTTGACAACTTCATTCATATTCAAGACTATTTCTCCACTGGATTTTATATTAATATGATTCTTATGTATTTTATGTATTCTCTAGATGTTCTAAGTGTTGTTCATTAAATATGATGATTAGTAATATTTCCTCCAAGTATGGCCCTTTGTATTTTAATATTGTGAAACATCTGGTCATACGAAAGTTCTTAGTTTTTACGTAGCATTTTTTATGGCTTCTGAATTTTCTCATTTAGGAAGAAAACTGTAATATAGAAGATACATGAATGTATGCTTGATTAATATTTCAGATAACAAAGCCAAAGTCAAAATTTTTTTCTCACTTTGTTGCCCAGCCTTGAGTGAGTGCCGTGCCATCAACCTAGCTCACAGCAACCTCAATCTCCTGGGCTCAAGCAATCCTTCTACTCATCTCCTCAAGTGATCCTTTTGCCTCAGCCTCCTGAGTAGCTGGGACTACAGGCACTCGCCACACCATGCCCGGCTAATTTTTATATATATACATTAGTTGGCCAATTAATTTCTATTTTTAGTGGAGACGGGGTCTCGCTCTTGCTCAGGCTGGTTTCAAACTCCTGACCTCAGCAATCCGCCCGCCTCGGCCTCCCAGAGTGCTAGGATTACAGGCGTGAGCCATCGCGCCTGGCCCAAAGTCAAATTTTTACTTCATCATACCAATACTCCTTTGGTTAAGGAGTATTCCTTAACCAAAATGCTTGGGACAAGAGTGGTTTGAATTTCAGATTTTTTTCAGATTTTGGAGTCTCTGAATATACATGATGAGACATCCTGCAGATAGAAACCAAGTTTTGACTGCATTTTGACTGAGACTCATCACATGAGGTCAGTTGTAGAGTTTTCCACTTGTGGTGTCTTACCAGTGTTCAAACATTTTTAGATTTTGGAGCACTTCAGATTTCAGATTTTTGGATTAGGGATGCTCAACTGGTATCACAACCTTCTCAAAGATGACTGCTGTTAAATTTTTGTACTTATTTTTCCAGGGATTTTTGTTGTTGTTTTTGTTTTCTGAGACAGAGTCTCACTCTCTTGCCCAGGCTAGAGTGCCGTGGCATCAGCCTAGCTCACAGCAACCTCAAACTCCTAGGCTCAAGTGATCCTTCTACCTCAGCCTCCTGAGTAGCTGGGACTACAGGCATGCACCACCATGCCCGGCTAATTTTTTCTGTATATTTTTAGTTGGCCAATTGAATTCTTTCTATCTTTTAGTAGAGACAGGGTGTCATTCTTGCTCAGGCTGGTTTCCAACTCCGGACCTTGAGTGATCCACCCACCTTGGCCTCCTACAGTGCTACGATTACAGGCGTGAGCCACCATGCCCGGCCTCCAGGTATTTTTTAATGCATATAATATATATGTATAAGCAAAAATAGCATCATTTTTAAAAACATAAGACAGTAATATATAATTTTCTGCAACTTGCTTTTTAAACAAAGTATCATGGGGGCATTTCTACTAGTTTTGTTTTTCCTTATTTTTAGAGATAGAGTCTCCCTATGTTGCCCATATTGGAGTGCAGTGGCTATTCACAGACACAATCCTGGCATACTAAAGCCTCAAACTCCTGGCCTCCTGGATCCTCCTGCCTCAGCCTCCTTAGTAGCTGGAACTTCAGGAGCATGCCACCACTCCCAGCTTTGTACACTATTTAGAGCTCTAACTCATTCCTTTCAAGTAGCACACAATATTCTATAATGACTATTTCCACATCAATAGATAGTTTCTTCAAATATTTCACTAGTACAAACCTCACAATGAATATCATCACAAGTGATAAGTTCTATCAGATAGAGATACACAGAATATTTTTGTTAAATGTGTACTTTATTGAATGTTTCATCTATGATGGTCAGAAGGAATAAACTAGTTCTTCATGATTTACAACACTAAATATATTTGATGGCTTTCTTTGTTATGAATCTTCTTATGCTGTTTAAGTGCTAAACTTTAGGGGAAAGCTTCCCCATATTCATTACGTTTATAAGGTTTTTCTCCAGTATGGAGTCTCTGATGTTCAACAAGGCCTGAGCTGTGCCAGAAGGCTTTCCCACACTTCGTACAGTGATAGGGTTTTTCTCCAGTATGAATTTTCCACAGTCATTGCACTGAAAGGGTTTGTTTCTACCATGAGTTTTCTGATGTTCAGTAAAGGATGAGCGATACCTGAAAGATTTACCAAATTTACCACAGTCGTAGGGTCTCTCCTCTGTAGGCATTCTTTGATGACTTATAAAAGTTAAACTCTTTCTACAGGCTTTTCAACATTCATTACCTCGATAGTTTCTCACCAGTATGGATTTTCTGATGTTCCAATACAGTTGACTTATCCATGAAAGCTTTCCCACATTCATTACATTTTAAAGGCTTCTTTCCACTATGTATTCTTTCAGGACAAGTAAGGTCTGTATTCTGGAATAAAGCTTTCCCACAGTTGTTACATTTGGGTTTATGACCAGTATGAATTCTCTGATGACTTAAAAGGATACAGTTCTTCCTGAAAGCTTTTCCACATTCACTGCATTTATGAGGTTCTCTCTGGAAAGAATCCTCTGATGATTAATAACTGTCAAGTGCTTCTTGAGAAATTTCCCACATTCAGTACATCTATAACGTTATTTACCTACATAAATTTTAATGATGATTTAAAATGGATGAACTGTTCATAAAAGCTATCCCAAATTCTTTACATTTATGTTGTTTCTCAACACTATGATTTCTCTGGTGGCTTACAAAAGAGGAATTATATTTGAAGACTTTCCCACATTCTTCAAATTTATAGAGCTTCTTTTCTGTGGAGTTTCTGCCCTCCCACTGCAGGTCTCTTTCCATCATGACATTTTTTGTTCCTTCTCCCAGAACAGATCCTTCAGAAGTATTTTGCTTTAGGGCTGACATCTTTGTTTCAAAACAGTACTTCTGGACTGAAAGAAAATTTTAAAAATTCAAATGTTCTCTATGTTGAAATGCTGAAAATGAGAGTTGCACAAAGACCTGGATAATGTTCTAGTCTACATAACTAAGGGTTATGTAGAATTATTTGTGTGTCACACTTGTGATTCTTGCTGAGAACAGATGGCAAGACTAAAGATATAAGACATATGTAGTATTCCAAAGAAATGAAAGGAACTTGTACTGTAAACATTATATTTAAGGAATGTAATGAGCACCTAAGAAGTTGGTAAGTTAAGAAGGTAACACAGGAATCGACCAAAAATGAAAAAACAAAAATGACAATGTGAGAATAAACACAAATTTAGGGAAAAACACCTAGTATCCCAAAGCAAACCATGGTTCCTACTGGAGCAGATTCCTGGAGGTGGTATATCTGAGAACATTTATGATGTCCCCAAGAACTTAAGAATAACATTTCTTGGTGAGAATTTAACAAGGAACCAACATTTAATGGCTCAGAGGAAAAAACAGAAAAAAAAATTTAAGAAATCAAAATAGTTCTCAGGCCAACAACCTAATTTAAATGTTTAACATATCTAATAAAGAACATACCAATCTTGGCCGGGTGCAGTGGCTCATGCCTGTAACTCTAGCACTCTGGGAGGCCGAAGCGTGCAGATTGCTCAAGATCAGGAGTTCGAAACCAGCCTGACCCTATCTCTCCTATAAATAGAAAGAAATTAATTGGCCAACTAATATATATAGAAAAAATTAGCTAGGCATGGTGGCACATGCCTGTAGTCCCAGCTACTCAAGAGGCTGAGACAGCAAGATTGCTTGAGCCCAGGAGTCTGAGGTTGCTGTGAGCTAAGCTGATGCCACAGCACTCTAGCCAGGACAACAAGAGTGAGACTCTGTCTCCAAAAAAAAGAACAAAAAAAGAACATACCAATCAAAAGGCAAAAGGTGAATATGCATTTTCTCTAGCTGTTTACAAAGTACAGACACCAGATTCAAGAGAAACTAAGAAAAATCATTCTGACAAGAATATTCTCAAAATCTAATGGAGTCAAACTTGAGGTAAAATTAACAATCACTGACCAATTTGTTTACTGAATGCATTTTTTGTTATAAAAATAAATTATATCTACTATATCTATGGGTATATACACATATGTATATATATACACTTAAATTTTTATATCTTTATTATTTATTTCTTGAGAAAAATTCAATACATCAAATACTAGAGCTGAGATTTATTTTTTCAAGGAAATGCAAGTTAAATGTGAAACTAAGAAATAGCCCAAATTCTTCAAAGGCCTTTGATGGGATATTTATTTAATGTATAAGGATTAGAGATAATTTCCCCAGATCAGCAGCAGTATCAAGATACTGATTATATGCCAGGCACTGTGGCTCACGTCTGTAATCCTAGCACTCTGGGAAGCCATGGCAGGAGAATCACTTAAGCTCAGGAGTTGAGACCAGCCTGAGAAAGAGCAAGATCCTGTTGCTATTTTTTTAAGTTGTTTTTTGAGACAAGATACTGATTATAAAGCTAGGTAGAGGCAAATTAGTCAAATGAAGAGAAAGGCATACATATGGGACACTTATTCTGTGATAAAGGTGGCCTTGCAAAGCAATGAGGAAAAGGAGACACTGCATTAGCACATTTTGGGAGGGAAAAAGTAAACAAACCCTACCTCATACCATGCACAAAAATCCATTCTAAGAGGATGATAGATCTAAATGTAAAAAGCAAGCAGCAAAGCTTCTAGAAATTAACACAGGAGAATATTTTCATGAGCTTGGCAAACAAAAACAGGAAGAACATAAAATAATAATAAATAATACATAATTTAAAGTAAGTATTTTTAATAAGGCAAGACACAATAAGAAAAACATAGATAAATTGGAAGGACTTCTATTCATCAAAAGATCATTAACAGTGAAAATCCAAACCACACAGAAACAGATGACACTATACATGTAATCAACAATAGGCTCTTTGAGAGCTTGTTTGGAGGTTCTAACAGGGGAGCAGAGCTATCCATATATCCTTGAAGGAAGAACAGTCCTCCTCTAATAGTGAAGGTCATCCTCTTCAACTGAGTGCACAGCTTCAAGAGGGATGCACATCGAGCAGTGAGGGATGAAGAGGACAGCCACCTAGCCAACTGGATCAGCCAAATCAACCCTGGCAATCAATGGGATGACAGATGTCACAGCCAGCTCATCCTCACATCTAGCAATAGGCTCTCTGAATAGTTATTCAATAAAAGATGATATATAATGGCCAATGAATATCTTCAATCTCATTAGATATCAAGGATATGGATATTAAAACCACAATGAGATATACTCTACCAGAATGACTAACTTCAAAAAAATGACATTATCAAGTCTTAGCAAGAATATGAAACAAGGCCTGGCGCGGTGGCTCATGCCTGTAATCCTAGCACTCTGGGAGGCCGAGGCGGGTGGATTGCTCGAGGTCAGGAGTTCGAAACCAGCCTGAGCAAGAGCAAGACCCCGCCTCTACTATAAATAGAAAGAAATTAATTGGCCAACTAATGTTGGGGGCTGATTCTGGTGTTATGCCTTATACTAATCATTCACTACAGCCTGTAATGCACGTGTGCTGCCTGATGCAGCGGTAGTAAGCATTTTCTTCAGACACGGTTGCTGCTTTGTGACTTGTTAAGAGGCCTGAGTTGTTGCACATAAGCAAATGCTCCCAACTCCCACACGGAGGGCCCCGTGGTGGGAGTCTGGAGGCCGTGAGAACAAGAATAAGAAGAACTCTCCCAAGAACTGGCCCCCAATTGATGGTTGGTAGTCAATGACGGGTAAGACTCCCCATGGAGGGGGGCGACCTAAAACAGGCACAATCATGGGAGCCAGGGAGGAGCCACTGCCTGGGATTGAGACCAAGAAGCACTTCAAATGGCTGCATTGTCTTATGTTGCCTATCTCGGCCTTGGCTTTTGACCTCTGTCTGGCAACTGAATTTTAGTAACCGTTTTGAGGTCTGAGACCATGGGAAATTGTTCCCTTTTGAAACACCTTCAGAATTGGCTGATATCACTGCTATGCTCAGATGCTCACGTACAAGAACTAACCTTGGGTCTAGGGGGTATAAAAATAAAGCGACCGGTGCATTGGTGACTCGAATCATTGTCATGTCCATGTGTGTCTGTGTCGTTATTTTATGTTCTGTGTCTCCCCCATCCTGTAATCGGGCCACGACAACTAAAAATACATACAAAAAATTAGCCGGGCATGTGGCGCATGCCTGTAGTCCCAGCTACTCGGGAGGCTGAGGCAGTAGGATCGCTTGGGCCCAGGAATTTCAGGTTGCTGTGAGCTAGGCTGATTGCCACAGCACTCACTCTAGCCTGGGCAACAAAGCAAGACTGTATCTCAGGAAAAAAAAGAATATGAAACAATGAGTATTCTCATACACTAATGACAGAAATATAAATTAGTACAAAACTCTGGAAAATTATTTGGCATCATGTACTAATGCTGAATATATGCACACCCTATAAACAGAAATTCCATTCCTACGTATATGCCCAACAGAAATGTACCCACATGCAAACTAAATGTGTAAGAATGTTAATAGCATTTTTATAGCCAAAAGCTGAAAAATCTTTGAATATAAGAGAGAAACCATGCTACAGTCACATAGTACGATACTCCATGGCAGTGATTCCTGGAGCATGCTCCCCAGACCAGCAGCAGCAGCATCAACACACCTGACGTGATGAATAATGATCTCGGAGGGTAGGACCCAGTGACTGCACTTCAACATGCATCTGACGCAGACCAGAGTTTTAAAAACCACTGAACCACAGCAAAAAAATGAACAGAAATGGATTAATTCCACAAAATGTTATGTATAAGCCAGACAAAATAATATATACACTCTATGATTCCATTTAACTTCATATAAAGTTTGAAAACAGGTAAAAATAAACTAGTGTCAGTTCAGGGGAAGGGGAATGGATAATGATTGGAGGAATCAACATGCGATTTACCGGGGTATTGCCAATGTTCTATTTTTTGACCTAGTGTTGGTTACCAACTTTTGTAGGCTTTAACAAAGAAAAGGCTAGCTTATAAGTCTCTTAACATTTCAATCACTGAAATCAAAACACAAATTGCAAAATATCTAAAAAATGATAACGAAATCACTATATGTTATAACTTATTAAATACAATAAAAACATTGTACAGACAAAACTTCAAGACTTTAAATATTTGTATTACATAAATAACAAAGAAGAAAATTCAATGAATTAAGTAAATAACTAAAAATGTTAAGAAAAAGTAAATAAACCTAAGGAAAGCAAAAGGGAAAAGGAATTAAAGATTCAAAAGACAGATCCAGGACAAGATGGACGACTACAGTCAAGGCTTGCTGGACCACCCCATTAGAGGAGTTGAGGTTTGGAATGAAGGAAACAGAGAGTGATAGCTGATCAGGAGTGGTCCACAGGGTCTGACACCAGTGGAATCCAGGACATCGCCAGCAGGAACTAAACAGCTGAGAGAGGATAGAAAGGAGAAATGAGCACAGGGGAGTTCCAGAGGCACCTACGAGCTGTAAGGCAAAAGCATCAGGTAACTTACAAAATTATTTTTTCTAAATCTGCAAAAAATGATGTTGGTATTTTAGTAGGCATTCCATTGAATCTGCAGATCACTTTTGATAGTACATTAAAGACACAAAAAGACAAGCATATCCATCATTATCTTTAATATTTTAAAAAGTCAATATAAAACAAGTTTTTTAAAAATCTATGATATGTGTCATATAATTTCATTAATGCATACAGAACCACATTAATAATAAGAAAGACCAATAATCTAACAGTTAAATGGGTAAAGGACTGGAAGAGCCAGTTCTCAGAAAAAGAAATACAAGGATTCCTGAAAATGTTAAAACATGTTCAACCACACTCCTGATAAGGGAAATGCAAATTTAAGTTACAATAAAATAATTATTTTCACCTGTGAGATTGGCAAAGACTGATAAGACATTTATTTCTTTCAGCAGGATTTTAAGGGAAAAAAAGTATAAGACACTGTTGATAAGTTATGATCAAGCTGGCACTCATACCCTGTCAGGAGTATAGATGTGTATAATCTCTATGAATAGAGGAAATAGCCACCAAACTTGAAAATATACTTACCCTTTAACCTAGTAATTCTTCTTCTAAGAATTTATTTTACAGATTTACTTGTACACTATAAATTTACTTGTATACAGAACTGATGTGTAGGAAGATAATCATTGCAACACTGTTCATAGTTATTATGCCAGTAAAGAGAACTGATTATATAAATTATAGGACATCCATAAAATGGAACACTATACAGGCATTAAGAAGGAAAACAGCAGCTCTAAATCATATAACTATGTGAAATGATTTCCATGACATAAGTGCCAAAGTAAGATGCAGAATAGTGTGCTACCATGTGCTTTAAAAAAAACAATGTATATTCTCACAAAGTATACATCATGTCTGGAAATCTCCACAAGAAATGTACAAAAGGATGTCTCTGGGGAGGAGAACTAGGTGATTAGGAAGGCATGTGAAGGAGACTGCATATCATTTGAACCATCTAAATTTTGTACCATAAGCATTTCTTAAGACAAATAGCAGGGAATACACAGACACACGCACATGTCCACACACAAAGACAAGAAAAAATCATAGGACATTGAATAGTTGTGAAGGTTTTACAGAAAGACTTATTAGTACTCTCAATTGGTAAAAGAAATACCAGAGGAAACACTGCTTATTTTTATTACATCAAACTTTTAAACATCCTATTGCAAATAACAATCAAAATTAAAACAAAGAACAAAGAATAAGGAAGACTGAGTTACTACACAGTTTCTATATAAAGAACCTACACAAGAATTTGGGTGGGGAATGTTAAACATAGGGAGAATAAAAGGAATTACCATACTTCAAAAGCATCCTTCCCCACCCCTGGCAAAAACCTAGATTAAGCAAGATTATGTATGACCGGTATTTTACATGAAATACAGTTACAAAAGATCCCCTGAGGATGATATAGAGTAAATGACAGAGTTTTAGAAGAAGGGACACTGGCAGGATAAATATTTTAGATGAGAGAAGCATTAATATTTAAAGTTTTACAAATGAACTCTGACACAGAAAAAGTGACATACAGAAAACAGATGCAAAGTATACACAGATAAAAAATGAGAGCCAAAAGCTAAGGATAGCTGAGAAGAAAAATAAGATCCATGAGAAAAGGGAAGAAAATGCTTCCTCATCAGTTTGCCAAAGATAGCAACTGCCTGGGAGTTAGGAACCTCTGCTTATGTATGGAATCTGCCACTGTCGCTAGAAAGTGGAATACAGTCAACCAGCAAGCTTGCCAGCAGGGAGGAAACAAGAGAAGCAAAGGACAGCCTGATGAACACCTGAAAACAGAGAGAGAAAGTCACAGTAAAATTCTGAGGATTGGAAGGTGCTGGGGAGAAACCACAGGCCTGAGGCCCTCAGGAAGAAAGCAGCTCTCCACGGGAGTGCAAAGACTGAGGAGGAAATGGCAAGGCACTTGACATGAGGATAGCATTAAAAAAAGAGAAAACAGCATTTGACGGCCAGCCCTTCTGCAAATAGGGGTGCCAAGATGAGCTTTCCTCCCAGGAGCCCCTCCTCACTGTCCAGCGTGCTGAGCTGCCACTAGAATGGTTCCAACTCCACTCACCTGCACAAGGCCCCACTGGGACCTCTCAGGCCTCCATCCAGGGCTCTGCCTCTTGTTCCAACTGAGCAATTAGTTTTGGAACACAGAAGCCCTGTTCATAGAGAGAAAAGAAACATGACTATGGTTACGAACTCAAGGGATCATCCCAGACCTCAGTGTCAACTTGAGGGTCTACAAGGAGCATGGATAGGTCAGGGAGGCCTAGAGGTTAGTATCAAGGATGCCCAACTCGTGCAGTAATACAGATAGAGGGAAAGTCAATTAGAATACTGGGCCCTCCTTGAGGATGAGAAGCTCCTCTTTTTGGAGGCAGATGAATCCTGACATGGAAACATTAGAGAACGGGGCTAGCCCACATAACAAAGCTGCCCATCTTAAACCTTGTGTGGCTCGGATCTTCCTGAGGGCCTATGAGCCAATGCTTTAAAAAGAAATAATTCAAGATTTTTCAATAACCCAAACCATTTGCCTTGAGAAAACACAAAGTTGCCTACTAGAGCAATTCTGAGTCAAGGAGAAAGACATGCTTACCCACAGACACCAGATTCCTAGTTTTCCAGCCTCACATCCCTGTGCAGGGCCCGCTGAGCAGCATCCAGGTGCCTCCACTCAAGCTGGGTCAAGGCCACAGCCACATCCCCAAATGTCAGTGGTTCCTGCAAAACCAAACCCAATTCTGCTCATCCAGGAACCATCATTTGTACCATCCCCCCGATGAAGGGAGCCAGGATAGCTCCACAGAAGAAGGAAAGCAAGACCTTTAAGGCCAACTTCTCACAGTTCTGATGGTCACAGGAATGAAGACAAAAGCCAAGAAGCTGGAAAACCAGAGAATGAGGGGAGATTGTAACCCCTCACTGGACCACACTGCCCTCCTTGGACTCTTCCAACATGGAGTTTGCTCATCCCGCACTGCATCAGTCTTTGCTCATGTCACCTCATCAGAAAGGTCTTCTCTGTCCTCCTTCTCTTCTCTCACCACCCTATCACGTGACCCACTTCGTATTTCTTCACAGGATTTCTCACCACTTGACAGGATTGTATTCCTCTTTAATGTGAGCTCCAGGAGGGCTTGACAGCTTGGGTCATTGCTGCCTCCTGGCCTAAAACACTGCCTGACATTTAGAAGTATCCAGGATTTGTTCCATCAACACATGAATAGAAACTCTGAAAAAACACGGAAAGTGATATTGATTTATTCTAGAATTTAGGAAGAGTATGGTCTGACTCTGGGGCAGAATACTAAAAAAGAAAAACAATTTAATTGCTTTTCATAACAGTAACAACTTAGTATATACCAGGCACAATGCTAAACCCTAATATATATATTATCTCTCTGAATTTCCACCACAACTGTATACAAGTATTATTGCATCTAATGTGTTAAGGATTCTAAGGTTCAGAGAGTTGGAAGAAATTGCTCGAAGTCCCAGGGTTGGTTAAAGGTACAGTATAAGAGGCAGCTGTAAAAAGTGGTAATAAAACTGTCACAAATTTGAAGAAATGGCTATAAAATATTAAAATAAAAAAATGAGTAAGCCTAAAAAATACATATACAAAGATGTTTCAGATGAAATAATTTGATTTGTTAGAGTGGTAGAAATGATGATGATCTTTAATTTTTAAGTGTTCTTTGTTACTCTTGTATAATAAATGTACAAATATTTATCATTTCCTTTCTAAATGCTGATCACTTCCTGTCAACTTCTCAAAAACTTCAAAACCCAGTTTTCTCCACGATAAAGGCAAACTCCAGCCTGACATTCTGAATCATTAATGTTTCCAACTTTCTCGGGCCAGTCTGTTCATGGTTGGGTCATACTGACTTCACTCAGGCTGCAGCACCTTCCCTTAGTTTCCCCATCCTCTGAAATTATGCAAATTTCATTTATTCTTCAGAAGGAAGTAAAATGCCCCACCCCACCTCACCCCACCCAAAGGTCAAGAGAATATTGCCATCCCTGCCATGTGTATCATTCACCGACTCTTTAGTCTATGTCGGTATATGTTAAATGTATTCAGTTTGCATCGTCTACAAGTTTGCAAAGTATTTTTCAGTTTCTAGCAGAAAACGTAAGTGGCACAATCTCTTTGGTGCGTGACTATGTAATGGGTAGAAAAGAATGAACTGAAGGGATGACAGTAGAGAGAGAGGTGGATTGGTAAGGCAGCTTGGTCCATACACAGGGTAGAGCATCTTCTGGGCAAGAGACATAAACCCCACCTCTCTTTGAAACGCTTGTTGATACCTTAGAAAATGGAAAAATCAGACTTGCCTAGATCCGGGCTCTTCTGGCCATCTGCATCCTGAACTGTTCTCCCAGGCAAGGGCAGAGAATTCTGCATAAACCAATCTGGGAAAGAAGAAAGGAAACGTGAGGTCGTCACTCCATGCAAACTACAACTAGCCCTATGGACGAGTCCACCCACCACCGCCCTACTCCCTACAAAGGGCGGCAGACAGGTGAAGGCGGGTACGGGCAGGAAGAAAGGGCCTGGAACGCGAACCCCGGCCCTCCAGGCCTAGCACCTCTGCCAACACGGGCGGACCATCTGGCTGGCGGCTCCGTCTCCCCGCCTGGGCACAAGGCGCATGCTCTCTGGGACGCGCCGGACGCAGGCGGCCGTTCCGCAGGCGCAGCCACCTCGGGTGGGCCCAGCCGCCGCTGCCCTCCGCTCCCAACCGCGCTCTCTCCTCCGCCCGCCGCTGGGGAAGGAAGGCAGCAGCCGCCAGGGCCGAGGCCCTAGGGTCCCAGCCCGCCGGCGGCCGCTCCCGCACCGGGCCGGGCGGCGGAGCTGCGCAACCGCACACCACAGAGGTGTCGACCGGCCAACCAGGCCAGCGACGCTCGCCCACGCATGCGGGGGGCCGGAAGCGGAAGTGGCCGCGGAGGCCTCTGGGAAGTGTGGTCTGGAGCCCTGGGGCCTGCGTATTGGGCGCTCTGGCACCGCCTGGGTCCCCGCGCCGGAGGTTCTGTGCTGGTCGTCCCGGTGGTGGTCCTAGCGTCGGGATTTTTAAAAGCTCCCAAGTGATTATAATGTGCTGCCAAGATTGGCACCCGCCCCATTCTGATGAAGATATGAGAGGCATATTTTGTTACTTCGGATAGCTGTTTATGATTGCTTATTTGTTTCCAAATAATCCTATTTTGATTTCAAACGAAGAAAAAGCACATCAGAAAAGTACGGCACCCAGAACATAAAAGTGTTATTTCTTCACCATTTGCTGACAGAGAAAATGAAACAAGATTGATTCCATTTTAACAAATGTATTATTTTCTAGAAAGAAATATCTTTTTCAACTTATAAACTGCAGAAATTGGGAAGTATAGGAAGGAAAATGTATCTCTTTTGTTCAATTAGGACGTTTCTTTTAAAAGAAGATTTCTCAGGACGGGCGTTGCTTTGCAGATTTGGCAATGGTTGCTGAAAGCCCCACTACATGCCACTCACTTGACTGCACTTGAGGCAGGCTCCTTCACATCTTCCTTTCCACTGTGCTTCACCTTGGTCTGATGAGCCCAGTTTCAGCAAAGAATCCTGATAAACCGCTTTATCAAGAACCGCCCCCCCTTGATATCCAATGAAGCTCCTCTTCCCCTGCACTTGATACCAAGTTCCTCTTAGTAATTTTCCATCTACTCCCTCACTCTGCCCATTGGTATAAACCCCCACTTGGGCCTTTTGCGTTCAGAGTTAAGTGCAATCGCTTTCCCCTATTGCAGTAGTCCTGAATAAAGTCTTCCTTGCCATTTTTAACAAGTGTCAGGATAACATCTCTTTAATACAGTGAACAAATGAATAATGACCTCCTCAAAAACCTACGTTCCAATGGGGGTCCAGAGGACAGAAATTAAACAAAAGCAAAAGGGTCAAGAAGTGGGAGAGGATTGTTATTTAATATAAATGACAACAACAACAACAAAAAAGCCAAACCGTAAAATAATTTTAAAGAGATTTATTCTGAGCCAAATTTGAAGACCATGACCTGGAGCCACTCCCAAGAGGCCTTGAGCAGTGGACTCCATGTGACTGGCTTACAGTTTGGTTTTTATTCATTTCAGGGAAACAGGAGTTACAGGTAAAATCATAAATCAATACGTGGGAGGCATACATTGGTTTGGCCCAAAAAAGTTGGGATATCTTGAAGCAGGGGGGCTTACAGGTTATAGGTGGGTTTAAAGGTTCTTTGGATTGTAATTGGTTAAAGACATGAAGCTTTGTCTACAGGCTTGGAATGTTTTCATATAAGGAGCTGTTATCAGAGAGAAGCCACCCGACATACATGTGTTGTGTAAATTGAGGACCTGCAGGATTGTCTTGCATACCCTTAGGCCTGTTAATGGGTTATAAAGGATGTCTCCAGACAGGCATGATGAGGCCTGTCTGACCACCCTCCTCCTGGCAGACAATTTAATTTTAGGATATTCCTTTGGCCACGAGGGGGTCCATTCAGTAAGCTGGTGGGGGTTGAGCCTTAAAATTTTACTTTAGTTCACGTAGAGCTATGATGAATGGCCTCTTTGATAAGAAATTATATGAGCAAAAGAGGACTAAAGTGAGGTAACAAGGAGTGCATTTGTGGAAAGCCTGTTCCAGGCAGATGAAACAGCAAACGCAAAGACCCTACAGAGAGTGTGTTTTGTTTATATGAGGAACAGCAAAAAGTCAATGTGTGAGGACGCTAAAGACAGGAAAGACCGGGCGTGGTGGCGCACGCCTGTAATCCTGGCACTCTGGGAGGCCAAGGCGGGCGGATTGCTCGAGATCAGGAGTTTGAAACCAGCCTGAGTAAGAGTGAGACCCCGTCTCTACTATAAATAGAAAGAAGTTAATTGGCCAACTAATATATATAGAAAAAATTAGCCAGGCATGGTGGCGCATGCCTGTAGTCCCAGCTACTCGGGAGGCTGAGGCAGAAGGATTGCTGGAGCCCAGGAGTTTGAGGTTGCTGTGAGCTAGGCTGACGCCACGGCACTCACTCTAGCCTGGGCAACAAAAGTGAGACTCTGTCTCAAAAAAAAAAAGACAGGAAAAGCCAGATCATATTTTTCCATTTAGTCCACCAAAAGGATGTTGGCTCTTATTTAATGAAATAAGCCATCAGAATGTAAAGAAATTGGAACCCTCATTTATTGTTGATGGGATAGCAAAATGGTACAGCTACTTTGGAAAACAGTTTGGCAGTTCCTCAAAATGTTAACCATGGACTTACTGTATCATCCAGTGATTTTATTCCTAAGTATCTACTGAAAACAAATGAAATTTATACATGAATATTCATAGCAGCATTATTCATAAAAGCCAAAAAATGGAAGCAACACAAATATTCATGAACTAGTGAATGGATAGAAAAAAATGTGATATATCCTGTCAATGGAAAAGAAGCCAAACTGTTTAAAGTAATTTTAACGAGATTTATTCTGAGCCAAATTTGAGGATCATGACCCAGAGCCATATCCAAGAAGCCTTGAGCAAGTGGACTCAGTATGGCTGGTTACAGTTTGGTTTTATACATTTCAGGGAGACAGGGGTTACAAGTAAAGTCATAAATCAATACATGGGAGGCATACATTGGTTTGGCCTGAAAAATCTTGAAGGTGGAGTGCTTCCAAGTTATACATGGGTTTAAAGATTCTTTGACTTATAATTGGTTAAAGACAGGAAGCTTTGTCTAAAGACTTGGAAGGTTTTTAAGATAAGGAACTGTTAATCAGAGTCAAACCACCAGACATATATTTGTCCTGCAAATTGAGGATCTGCAGATTTGTCTTGCATACTCTTAGGCCTGTTAATGGGTTACAAAGGATGATTCCAAGAAGGGAGGGGGGCATAATGAGGCATGTATGATCTCCCTCCACATGGGGGGCAAGCTTTAAGATTTTATTTCAGGCTGGGCGCGGTGGCTCACCCTTATAATACTAGCACTCTGGGAGGCCGAGGCAGGAGGAGCACTCAAGGTCAGGAGTTCAAAACCAGCCTGAGCAAGAGCGAGACCCCGTCTCTACTAAAAATAAGAAAGAAATTAATTGGCCAACTAAAAATATATAGAAAATATTAGCCGGGCATGGTGGCACATGCCTGTAGTCCAACTACTTGGGAGGGTGAGGCAGCAGGATTGCTTGAGCCCAGGAGTCTGAAGTTGCTGTGAGCTAGGCTGAGGCCAC